TTTTTAAAGGACACCCCATCCTCCTGATCCTTGTACACAGAGCTGTACTTTGGCAGCCAGAATCGGTGGATAAGCCTTGACTCAGGGCTGCTTTCACTGTCCGCTCTCCCTTACTCCCTACCCTGCTTACTGGCAAGCCACCTTGGCTTTCCTCAATACCTTGATACTCCCACATCTTAGATGCCTTCTGGGTATTCCATTGCTTAGAATGGCCACAAAAACAAAAACTCTCCCCAAATCATTATCCCCCTGTATGCTAAGATAGGACCTTTTGTGACAAGAAGGAACTCACTTTGGGTAAGGACACGAAATACTGGAGTGGGAAGACTATAACTGAAATCCGTGTATAGACTGGATGACTGGTTTTCAGGTCTTAGTATGCACTGTGTAGCTGTTTTGCTTTTACTTGATGGTACTCGTGAGTGGCTAGACCAGTGCATATGAAAGAACAAGAAAGGGACTATCAGCTCCGGGCATCCAGAACACACTCTGACTGCATTCCTACTGAGGGAGCAAATGGACTAGTGTTTTAAGTTTTACTTCCTAATCTGTGTGAAACGTTAAGAGAACATGTCTTATATATACACAAACCACATAAATTCTTCCTTTTCTGAAGGCCAGCACAGTTTTCACTTAGAAACTAGAGGGAATAGGAGGGTGCTAACTGTTGATACTTCAAAGTGACTGAGATTGGTAAACTGTGGTTCTGAGCACTTTCCACATCATCCTGGCAGTGGGACACTGTATACTCTAGGACTAAATGATGGCCATATATGCTTTTCCATGCATTCTTAGATTCAAGAAGCACATGGAGCTCATCTCTGTACCAGAAAGAACTCTTCTGCCTCACCAGAGTCCCTGACAGTTGCCTGATGATGAGTTACCTGGGGCATCTCTAAAACTGCAAGTTCTGAGTCTAAACTCAAACCTACTGAATCAAGATCCAGGGAAATGACCTGTGAACACACCCTTGTCTGATGCTGTAGAACAGACATGTCCACTGGTGATAGTCAGAGGCACAGCTCCACACACTTACACTCAGCAGCCTGAGCTCCCCTATTCTTTGACAGACCTCAACTTGGGCCAAACTGGGATTTTTGGCTCTGACCCAGAAAGGAATTTCAGGACTCCCCAGTTTGAAGCAGAGCTTGAGGTTTTATTAAAAGATATTTTATACATGAAGTTTAGAAAGGTGCTCAGAAAGAAAAATGTACCTAAGTGTGGGTATAGTAGCAGGAAGTGCAACATGCACAGAGTGAACTGTTACATTGGTCATTAGTACCATGTTGGTGACTTTCAAGTTACATCTCAAAAGGTCACTAAGAACTCCCTCCCCTTTTGATGAGATTATAGATGACTCTAAATACATTACATATAATTGTAATCTGATAAGGAATCACTAGAGGTACACAGGGGGTTTACTGCATGCTCTCCTTTGCCTGTACATGGAATTTCTGGTAAGACTTCTAGAAAATCACAAGTTTATGGGTGGGGTGAGAGGAAATGCTTTAAGCAGTTTGTCAGTTGTGCTGAGACTTGCTTCTGTTAGCGTGACACTTCAACCAGATCGCTAGACTCGGCTCCTTTTCCTCATCTCTATCATTTTCCCTGTCTTGCTATCCTACCTCATTATTATCTGAGACATAAATGCAAGTCACACATATAAAATTTTCCTAGATCTCACATTAAAAATGTAAAACATAGCCAGGCGTGGTGGTGCACGCCTGTGGTCCCAGCACTTGGGAGGCAGAGGCAGGCAGATCTCTGTGAGTTCAAGGCCAGCCTGGTCTATATAGTGAGTTCCAGGACAGCTGGGGCTACAGGGAGACCCTGCTTCAAAAAGGGAAAAAAAAAAAGTAAAATGTGGGGCTGGAGAGATGGCAAAGCGGTGGTTAAGAGCACTTGCTGCTCTTGCAGAGGACCCAGGTTTAGTTCCTAGTACCCACATGGCAGCTCACAATGGTCATGGTCATCTCTGGTTCCAGGGGATACAACGCTCTCTTCTCACCTCTGCAGGAATTGCATGTATGTGGTGCACTTACATTCATGAAGCAAAACTCATAGGAATGGAGATAAGTAAATTTTAAAAAATTAAAATATGAAATTATTTTATCTTTTACTATGTGTATGAGTTATTATTGCTTGCATATATGTAAGTACACCTATGTTGTACAATGCCTGAAGAGGTCAGAAGGTGTCAGCTCCACTGGAACTGAAGTTATGAATGGTTGTTAGCCTCCATTTGGGTGCTGGGAACCAAAGCTGGGTCCTCTGCAGGAGCAGCCAGTGCTCTTAACCGCTGAGCCATCTCTCTAGCTCCTCAAATTAATTTTAATAACAAAGCTGGGGTAGAGCACTTGCCTAGAATGTGCAGATCACAAGGTTCAGTATCCAGTATTGTCCCAAATATGAGTGCAATTTCAGTATTATAGTTAACCCACAGTTTTAAAATTGAGATGTTTTTCTTTATTATTAAAGCTTCAAACTGCAGTATACATTTTATACTTACAGTACATCACTGGATTCAGTTCCCCCAGTATACCACTTGTTGGGATACTGGTGACTTATCTGTGTATTTCCTGACTCTTATTGTGGGGGTCTGCCCCCCTCAAAACAAAGTAACTCAAGGGTGAGGTTTGGCTTCATTTCTGTGTATTTAAATAAGTGAAGGGACTAGTTCTGACATTTGTACTTCCTCTTCTTTCTGTAGTAATAAGGTTCCGGGATGGAGGGAGGGGCAGTTATGACATCCCAGGACTGGTTACATGCCTCACCCCAGAACCTGGGCATGAGTAGGTCTGAGAGCTGCTTTGCCTCCTTGGGATTCTGTCCTACTTTAGACTACCCTGTCTGTAAAGTCCCCTGGGTCTGAGGATCCAGATGCTAGGGAAGGGAGCCTTTTGGTGGTGGTGGGGTTGAGATTTCCAAGCAGTCTGCCAGTAGAAAGCAATGGGGCAGGCAGGGGTGCTATCACTGTGGATAGCATGTTCTGTTATAGATTTCTGGAGTCGATGATTATGGTTTTGGTTCTCTTCACAAGCTGTTCTTTCCCTCCCTTGTGCAGTGAACCAACTTTATGGCATGTGTGTGCACACACCATAAAACTGTACTTTTAAAAAAAGGAGAAGATAAAGGGCAACAAAACGTAACTACCTTTCAGCCTTGCCTCAGACAGAGGGGCTGCTCAGAAAGCCGAGGGACAGGAATTCCTCTTTTCTGGCAGGAAATGCTGCCACTCTCCAGTTTCAGTGGGAAGCACCAGACCAGAAGTTTCTGAGATTGCAACTGCTCAGGATTAGCATTCTTTAGCAAGGGGGAGATACCAAGCACCCTTGGTCCTGCCTGCCCTCTCTGGCCAGCCACCTATGACTACAGCAGGTGGGACGACCCAGTGAAGTATGAGTCTTACTAAACTTCTTAGTTGCTAGGCTTTCCCTGTAAGACAGCAGGCTTGAGTTTTTGTGTTGTGATTCCCTCCTCCATTCCTCAGTTTGGAGGTGAAGTTGCTCTGATAGCTACGTGCAGAAACGCAGATTAGATACTAGAGAAGCCAGGAAGGGAGAAGCAGGGTCCGGGTCACAAGAGTGCCTGCAGGTGGTCTCACACCCTGTCACTGTGGGTGCACCCTCTCCTGGTGTCCCTGCCTTCCTATCCAAGCATCCTAAGCATCCCCGAAACCACTGTGTCCCAAGAACAGAAGACGACGTCTAGCCCAGGCTGCATGAGGATGTGCTCACCCACACGCCGTAAGAAAATGTTTAGGCAATACAGAAGTGAAGTGGCAAAGCCCTCAGCCACCCCTTCAACCACTGCTGAGTTTGGTGCTTAGTCTGTTTGTATATTGCCAAATACAGCAGATTTCTAGTGTTTTGTTTGGTTTTCTTTACCAAAAATGGTATTCTACATTTCCATGGCAGTACCTGTTGATCTGTATTTAAACGATTTTTTTGAACAGGTGCTTCAGTAGCACAGACATATATATCGTGATGAATTCAAGCATACCCCGTTATTTTCCATTCTTGTTTAAAAAAATTTTTTTTTTGTGGTGGTGTGTTTGTGACAAGGGGTTCATGTGGTCAGACAACTTTTGGGAATCAGTTCTCTCCTTCCACCACGGAGATTCTGAAAATCAAACCTGGGTCATCAGGCTTGTGGCAAGTGCCTTTACCCACTGATCCCTATAACTGGCCTATCCTCATTTATTGTAATGAAAGCTGAAGTGATTCCAGCTATAACTGATTTTTATGCTCAATCATTTCTCTAAGGTAGTCCTAGAAATCAAATTGCTTAGGTGAAAGGGTATGTGAATCTACTTTGCTAGATACTATGAAAATCAATTGTCATATATAGACTCATTGGACTGATTTTTATACTTAGAGGAATTCCTTCCCTAAATCCTGGTGGCTTAACAAGTACCATGGAAATAAGTAGTCGTGAATCACTCTGAGGGGACTCACTAGAAGTTGTCAATGATGCACAGTGCTCAGGTGCTGGAGGGATACACTGGGGACCAGCTCAGTACAATGAGACTGTCAAGTATCCACTACCACTTTTGATTTCTAAAGGTACAATCTGTTAATGAGAAGGGAGTTTTCAAGGTAGGCAGCGTAGGATAGAGACTTCCATTCTGGGATCTCTGGATGATCTGGGAACTGCTTGGGAAAGGGGTGTGGAAACCGAGATGGGTTTGTGGTCATGGCTGTAGGAACTGCTATGGGAGTAGCAGAAGTTCACGTCCTCTTTCTTGTGACGCATACTTTACATCCATAAAGGGTTACCACTTTAGCAGGTTCCAGCTAGCCTTGAGGATGCAGTGTTGAGGCAGCGCTCATTCTGCCTATGCTGAGCGGGAAAGCTGTACTCCTAAGCCCACTAGCATCTTCATCTTACCTTTTGTGCCCTGGGACTGTTGACATTCAGCAAGCTACACCTGCCTTCTTCCCACCACCTCCTACAGCCATGGCAACCTACTGATGGCTGCTGTTTTCTCCTTGGTACAGGGAAAAGAAGTTGAAAGCCAGAGTTCAAGAGCTGGTCAGCGCCTTGGAAAGACTCACCAAAAGCAGTGAAATCAGACACCAACAATCAGCAGAGTTTGTTAATGACTTAAAGCGAGCTAACAGGTAAAAATCCCCTGTGCATCTCAGTAAAGGTCTTTCTCCAAGTCCTGCGAAGTGACTGTATACGGAGAGTCATCACTGCAACTGAACAGAAACCCAGGAAATTAAAGATGGGCCCTTTAATCAGATAGATGCACTTAGAAAACACAATTAAGTCATACAATTAAGAAAAAAAAAAGTTTGAGCCAGTATTTTCAATGGAACCATTTATTTGAGCAACATTTCAAATCCAGTGGAACATTTTAGACTCCAAGATAAGTGTCTAAAAATTTGGGGGGGGGGCTCACAATCCCTTTATGTTCATTAAAAAATGAAAACTTCAAAGAACTTTTGTTCCTACAAATTTTATCTATTAATACTTCTCATCAGAAACTAAAACCAAAGGTTGGGTATGGTGGCACATGTCTTTAATCCAAGCACTCCAGAGGGCAGGGGCAGAGGCAGGCACAGTTCTGTGAGATTGAGGCCAGCCTGGTCTACACAGTGAGTTTAAGGCCAGCTTAGGGAGATGGGAGACTCCCATCTCAAAATGCGAAAGAAGAAACCAACTGAGACAAACTTTTAATTCATTTACAAAAACCAAACTCAGTAGATTAAACATAAATGACATTGCTATGGAAAAAAACTATTTTAAAAAAATTTAGAAGAGTGGCACAGTTTAGTTTAGTAAATCTGGCTTAAGAGAAGACACCTGGATTTTCACATCTGCTTTGCGGCTCAGTAAAAGAACACTGAGAACACTAGGCTTCAAACAGTGTAGGTAGAAGTTAAAGACCACACAGACCCCCTAAACAGGTTTTAGGAATCTCAAAGGGTTTAGGATTCTTGGGAGTATCTTCAAACCACACTTTAGGAACCCCAGCTTAGGTTAACACAACTGTTCCTTGATGGATTTAGGGTTCTGTTTTGAACCAGAGAATATGTAGACATATTTAAGCTTATTCTCTGCCTCACTCCATTGGACTGTGATGTAGGGCCAGTTTAGAGGCCTAAGCTGTGTTTAGCTGACAGTACTTCCTTGTGGCCTGACTGCTTCTCAATTCTAAAACAAGCCCAAAACAGAGAAGTTGGAGCAAGAACCTCTGTCCCTGTCCTAGGCAAGAGAATGTCTGTATAATTTACACTGACTACTTATAGCAGGCAGCCATGACACAAGTAGACACAGCATGTGTATTTAAATTTCTAGAAAATTCAGCAACCTTACTGCTTATCTGTCTTGGATTTGGAGTTGGTTAACTCCTAACATGTCAGCATGACAAGCGCAGCATGGTGAAATCCTGGTACTGTGCTGCTTCTAAGCATTGGGCTTTAGATCCTTACTGAAGAGGTTGAGTGAGCTCCTCAGAGCAGTGCTCACTCAGTCTGGCCCAGCGCACAGGACAGCATGTTTCATGTGCTACTCAGGACGAATCTTCACTCTCTTCCATCTGTTCCCACACAGTAACTTGGTGGCTGCCTATGAGAAAGCAAAGAAGAAGCATCAAAACAAGTTGAAGAAGTTGGAGTCTCAGATGATGGCCATGGTAGAGAGACATGAGACCCAAGTGAGAATGCTCAAGCAAAGAATAGCGCTGCTGGAAGAAGAGAACTCCAGGCCGCACACCAACGAAACTTCACTTTAACTGGCACTCAGGCACCAAAGCTCTGCCCCTCGGGGCCAGACTCGGCAGCTTTGAAGTCCTCAGTGAAAAGAGAGGAGAAAGGCTCCAGGGAAGGAGTATCTGTTGGGAGGAGGAAAGGTTGGCTTATTGGTCAGAACTGGGACAATGCAATGTCCTAGACTTAGCCTTGGGGTGGCACCGTGTAGATTGTGCACACAGGCTCTGGGCACTGTGCTTAGGAGTTCTTGCTTCTGCTTTCAGCATACACTTTCTCATGCTCTCATCTGTTCTGTGCAGCAGTGGGATCCCGGGCATTTGGTTTTAGATTTTCCAGTCTTTTTTCCTTTTCATAGACAGTGCACTTACCTTTTGGCATCTAGAGTCCTCTCTTCCTTTTCCAGGGGTAAACTGACAGATACAGTGTTCTCTCTGTGACCAGCATCTAGGACTGACTGCTCACTGCAGCATGGCTTTGGTTTCCAGGTCCCATGTTACCAACGCCTAAGATACAGACTACCCCACAGAGGGATTTGGTTGGGAGGTACAGACCACAGGATGATGACACGGGTGTCACTGATATTCCTGACACATTGCAGTTTCAAGCAGACCGACATCAGGGCTGTGTGTAGACAAGCCTGTACCAGAAGAACACAAACACCCTCCACTTTCATTTTAAAGGCAGGGATAGCAAGGGAGCTCTAGGTTTTGATTCCCTTCTAGCAGACCCTTAGCCAACAGCAAAACTGAAGAGCTAAGAATGCTCTTGAGGCATAGTGAAGCCAAAATTTTATCAGGGGTTTCTTCCAGAGCAGAGTAGTAGTATTAACTCTTCCTCCAGCCTCAGGGCACTACATAATTGCTATTCTGCTGACTCAAAACTCACTCACCTGAGTACGTGCATAGCTTGGGACCTGCCTCTCTAAAGGCAAGAGGCTGTGCACTGTTAACACCAAGGAGACTCTGAATATTGTGCATAATTGTTCCAGCCTGTAACAGAGTGCCACTGAACCCCCACCCCTACACCAAATGAACACTTAGCTCTCACCGTTATGAAGGGGACCTAGGTAAGGGAATGATGTTGGGTTTCCTGTTCCTTCCCCCATACAGGGACGAATAACATTTGGTGCTGTAAGCGATTTCAAGCAAAGTGCTGACAGCTATGCAGGACCAAAGCACCTGAATTCTTTCAGGAAGGTCTTCCATCTTGATTCATTCCTTTTCTTTATAGTCTTCATTGTTTTGGCCCTTTTGTTTTTCAACTCTTCACTGATAGCATTAAAGGACAGTTTGCCATTTTCCCCCCCTGTGATTCCTCAAGATTCTACTTGTCTCCTATAAGAAATGGGTTCCACAGCACAGTTAACTACAAATTAAAGACGCTGTGCTGATGGCCAGGTCACTGCTGTAGACGCCTCCTGACCCTGGATGTACATGGGTCTGTCTTCAGAAAGCAAATACGAGTTCCTGAGCCTTCTGTGCAACAGGAAAAGCTATCTGATCTTCGTCCAAATCAGAAAGCTCTCAGAATTTGCCAGCCCTTCTCAGGCCAACTGTAAACGGCTCATCTCCAAAGCAGTACCAAAACTCAACTGGTTTGAGTCTACGAGGCCCATTCTCAAGAGCTTTGATCACTTTTTATTCCTTAGTCAGCACCTGTGATGTTTTTTCAATGTTCACCTTTTGGGTAAAGTTTTATTTTGTCATGGGGAAAGCGCTTGGACCGAAAATATATTTCCTCCCCCAACCAAAAAAATGTTTAATACATAAGATTAGTTTTCACCTAAAATTTTCAGGCAATCTTGGGAAATATCCTCCCTTGAGCAAACTGGGATGGACATGGTTTTTTCTTATATTTGACAGTTTTCATTCTCACTTAAGTAGAAAAATACGACTATAGAAGGAACAGACAAGCTGCCTGAAGCTCTTTGTCCCACCAGGTAAAATCAGAGAACCCACTCTTCTAGGTCCAGAGAAGAGGCTCCCCAAAGTATACATCCTACCTGACCTTAAGCTGAGTTTATAATTCAACATAGTATGCGTTTGGAGACTGGGTGAAAATTACTTAACAGGAAAAAAAAAATGTTGCTCTTTTCTAAACATGGGGGAAAGTCTAAATACTAACTGGTTTCCTCGCTCTGTAGTTTTCAATTACTCTTTAGGAGACAATCTTTGTTGAAGGTGAAGTAGCAGGTACTCTGTTGTGTGAACTATAGAAGCTACTAAAACTACATTGATTAAATAAATGATAGCAGGTGTCTGGGTAATTTTCCTTTTTGTTTAACCAGGCTCTACTTGAAAGTATTTCTAGGTAGGAGATGACTTCTATTAACATGTCTATTGAGAGCAAACAATTATCTTGATTTTAATTTGTATGAGGTTAAACTTCAGAATTTCATACTTTGAATTGTTTTCTCGAGTTTTAGTGGTTGCTTTCTCTAGGCAGTCATCTCTATTCAAAGCTGTCTTTGGCTCATGAAGAAATGAGCATAGAGCAAAAGGATGCACTAGGAATCAATCATTTCAAGGTTTCCTTGTAATATACTTCCCAGTTCAGAATGGCAAACCAACTATGGCATCAATCACAGGCAAAGGAGACTTGGCCATGACTGGATCAGATACTCTACAGCCCCATGTACAGCATCTGCCAACACTGCTACTTAGAGAGGTAAGACACATTATGCGATCAGACAGTAGAGATTTACCACCGTCCCTTCTTGTCATGCTCTAGGTCTAGATGAGTCTGTTTCACCATGGCCAGTAGGGGCAATAAACTTTCACACTCTCATCTGCTTAAAGTTAATGTCCATGCTGCCTGAAACTGGAATGCTATGTTAAGTTAACATAAGTGCTTAATTCTCCTTTCAGATGTATGTGCTTCTTATTAAGTCTTCCTCTAAGCCTGTAACAAAATCTTACAAGGATTTCAGAGAACTCTAAATGAGAGCCTTGACATGCTAGAAGGGCAGTCCAAGTTACAGCCTTAGGCTTTTGTTCTAAAAACTGTTAGGATGTGGCTAGTAAGAACTTTACCACCCTGAAGAAAATCTGAAACTGTCTGAAAGTCTCCTCATTCTTCCATACAGATATTATCTTAAATGAAAAACAGTTCAACAGGTACCTGGACAGGGTTGGAATGTCTTTATCACTGGCATGAATTGAAAACTACCAGGCTTACTTATTCCTTTGTGAAGAAAGATGTTTATTATGGTCTACAAAAACAAAAAAAAACCGCTGCAATTATGTTTTCTTTTTAATTCTGTCAGTTTCTTTGACACTCTCAAGAGTTTGGCGTTATTATGCTCATGTATAAATGAAGTGATGAGAAAAGCATCAAGACAACAAAAACACTAATTATGTCTACAAGTGTCCTTTCCGCCATAGTGTGTTCAGTTATAAATGTCTTATTGGGAGTATGTCCCAGCCGTTATATGAACACACTATCTTAAGAAAAAAAAAATCATGTTCACTAAATTTACAGTCTTACCCAGTTCTAGACATACTGAACAGTTTTTAGGAGCCCAGCAAAGAAAACTCTCTGGTGGTTTAAAATTTCTGCACTGCACTTCATTAGGGTACAGGTCCAATGTTGCCAAACTTTCAAGGGAGTAGAGGGCAAGAGCTTAAGAAACATTTCCCTGCAGTGCACAGCAGCTTTGGAGAACAATAGAAAGCTCTGGGAGAAACCTGCAGTTATTTTCTGTTTATCCAATGGAACAACCCATTTTGACAGTCATATAACACTACCTTGACTACTATTTGCAAACTTTGGTTTATAAAACAGGTGTAACTTGCCACAAAATAAAAATAACAGGTTCGCTACACAAAGTTCTTCAAGTGCATCCATAACCAAAACCTTGTGTCTAAACAGGTCAGGTTGAAGTTAGTGCTGAACCTGTGCCCGTTTTCAAGTTCTTTCCTAAACACCTTTGTATTCACTAAGAAATGTATGTCCCTGCTGTCAAGAGCTTACACAAGAATTGGAACCAGAATCATCAGTTAATATAATACAGGCTGTCACCACAGCCATCACTGAACATGCTGTTGCTGATAAATGTGAACAAGTGGAAAAGGATACAAATGTTAAGAGCAGCTATTCATGCAATTTTATTTTCTAATGCTTGCAAAGACGGAGAGAGTTTCATGTGCAATTTTGGTAAATTTATGCTGGATTAAGTATCACATTATATCTGAGATTTTTTATGCATGCAAGATCAAAGAGAGAAAAGGGGGAAAAAAAGGCAGGTGGGTCTCAGAAACGAGAACTGCTGTTAGAACAATCATATCCTTGGCTAATAGTATTTTATTTTCTCATAGTCACTCATTTGCTAATTTCCTCAACTACTGGCTCAGCAGAACAGAGCAAGTTATATATAGAATTTCCCCACTTTCATAGATGCCCTGATTAAATAGTTTTGCCCTGCCATTTGCTTTTTCCACTATCAGATTCATGTGGGAAATGTTCTGTAGAACTCATGGCACTCAGAGTCCACTCAGGACAGTGAAATGAATGAGAGCCCCATGACCTGATTTTCTTTGGGCCTAATACAAAGATTAAGAAACATGTTCACTTCTATTTCTAATCAGCCTTTAGGCATATGTTGATTTACTTTGCATGAGATTTAACTTTTTTATTATTTGAAAATGTGCTTTTTTATACCACTTGAATTATTAGAAAAACCTGCTTGAATGTACTCTCAGTTATTAAAGCACATGTGACTATGTCTGCATTTGTCAGTATTGTTCTGCTGTTTGTATGGAAAGTCTCGTTTTAAAGTGGCTACTTAACACTGTACTATACCTTGTAATTTTTTAGATTTACTTGTACACTTTAAATGTTTCCAGATGCTTTTAGTTTTAGCTGCTGTAAAATAGCTACTTTGTGTTATTTGATATAGAATTGTTTAAAAAAACTTCATTTATTTATACAGAGACATTTATAATATTTTACAAACATTCTTATATTCTGAATAAATATTTCTAATTCCATACTGTACTTTGTTTTAATTAAAAGATAAGGACGTTTTATAAAAGTCTGTGCCTGTCATACATGTAAATACAAACTGGAGATCCTTACATTAAATCAAGAGCTCTAGTCAAAGCAGGAGGTTAGATTATGCTGCCCACAGCCCAAAAACCCCTCATTTATTACCAATTTTTCCTTGGCTGCCTTTAAAAACTTAGCAAAGGTTCTCTATTAAAGGATTTATTTATTTAAAGTTCACAAGTGTTTTGTTTGCATGTTTTTAAATGTACCCATGTATGTAATGCCTGAGGCCAGAAGAGGGCATCAGATCTACTGGAACTGGAGTTACAGATGGTTATTGGCTGCCATGTGGGTGCTGGGAACTAAATACCACTAGTCCTCTGCAAAAGCAGCCAGTGGACTTAACTGTCGAGCCACCTCTCCAGCCACAAGGATCTTTTTTCTTTTAGAACTAGAACAGGGGAAAAAAATAACTGAAAAGTATAAGAAAGTCAAACGTAAGTACTAGATAGCCAGGAGTTTTGTAACCTGTCAGAAGAGTATTAAAATACCAATTTTTCACTGCATGCAAAATACTTTTGATAAGAGCATAGTTTCTTAAGCCTCCAATCATACAGCTGAAGTTTCTAAAAGAACCACCTATTTCTTTCTTCCTTAGACTCAAGGACAACTGAAAAGTCTATTGGAAAGCCTGGTTCTAGTATAAGTTTAGGAATTGTTGCATTTTAGCATTTTACATATTCAGTTCATACCTCTAGTCTACGACCATACTCAGAAAGAACCAAAGTGTAAATTAAGGTAAAGATGACAATTATCCTTTTTTTTTTTTCTTTTTTGGTCTTTTGAGACATGGTCTCCCTGTAGTCACAGCTGGCCTGGACTCAATGGAGACCAGGTTGGCCTTGATCTCACAGAGATCCACCAGCCTTCATCTCCCAAGTGCGGGGATTAAAGGTATGTGTCACCACACCCAGCCCATTTTCATTGTTGAGTAGATTCTACTTTTCATGTTTCTTCCTATTATGAAATATGTACTCAAGACCTTTTAATTTTATTTAAAATATTTTATTTACTTTTATGTGTCTGAGTGTATCGCCTGCATGTATGTAAGTGCACCAGTGTCATGCAATGTCCACAGATATCAGAAGGGGGCAACGTACCCATGTGGGTACTGGGAACTGAACCCAGGACCTCTGCTAGAACAGCCAGTGTTCTTAACCAGACCCATCTCTCCGATCCCATTCAAAACCTCTGAACAAGAGGCCAGGGGAAAACAACAAAATATGAGTAATTGGGAATCTACAACAAATGACAGCAGCAGAAACAAGGTTAGCATAGTAACTGAAACTGCCAAAGCAGCCAATTTTATTGGGATTGCATTACAAATAGCCAGAATTAGCCCAAATTTAATACAATAATGTTTTTACAGAAAGCCAATTAAGTGAACCACCTTCCATCATTGTAAGTTAAGTTTTTAGTTTCTAAACTAGTGTTAATTACATCAAAAGCTTTAGAAAGTTACACCATAATTACTATTAAGACGACGGACTGCATTTCTGAGAAGAGCTGACAATCTGCACATGTTTGGAAGTGCAATGCCCCAGAAACCTTCAAACACCAATTCACAAACATGGGTCACTGGACACCTTTAGTTTATGACAGTTACATCCAAAATAAGTGAAATCCAGTTTCCATCCTTAACATGGAGGTGGCAAAGCCATTGCTGAATTGCAGTATTAAAAAAAAAAAAATCAGAAACTTATCTGCTCTAATGTTGTTACACTGCAGAGAACCCAACAAGTTCATTTTGGGGGTCTCCTTTTTGGCTTTCCCTAAACATTTGACCATTACCCAAAAAGAAGCAAGAACTTTTATTACTACAATAGACATAATCATGTAGAGGGTTTAGTCTTTAGGCATTGAAATGCCCTAGAGATTCAAGTAATAAAATACTGCTGTACATTAGGCAATGATTAAATGTTTCATATAAGACAAAACTGATTAATGATCTAAGAAACAAAGTTTACAAATCTATTTATTCTAAAAGTCCAGTTTTTACTGAACACTATACTCAGTGAAGTCATTTCATCAGTTCTTGTGTACTAGGTTTTGTAGGTTTCATGATACAACTTTTGCTTTTTTTAGATTAGGATTTATAAACAGATTGTTTTCAGGCTATTTGCCTTCCACGAACATCAGGTCCTCACAGCACAATGTACAAGGCCACTTCAAATCTTGTCTTTGAAGTAGACAAAGTATTTAAAAAATAATTGAAGAACTCTTATTTACTTTCTTGCTCAAATAAACTGTATGGCTCATTTGGGTTAGATGAAAAACAATCTTACTTAAGAGATACACCACTTAAGGTAGCTAAATACATGAACATTCACAAAGACTCATTTAGAGTTTCATTAAAACCAAGAGATTAACTAAACGATAGTCTAGTGAGTCAATACTTATTTTTAAAACTATCATAAGGTCTTAAGCTAATTAGCAAATATCAAAAATAATTTTTAAAAATTAAAGCAAAGTTCATGGTGTTATTGTTCCTCCCTATTTGTTAAATTGAAAAAAAAACTGTAATATTTATACAATGGAAGTTGAGTTGGCTGTCTCCTGCCCTAACTTGAAATGTAAATTAAAGGCTCATTTCCTTGGACACTTGCATTTGGCATTTAATGTGCCACAGCCAGCAGTGCCACAGGACAGCAGTGCAATGCAGATTCCTACAGTGTCTTCGGTGTTTTGCTATCACTGTGTGCCGTGTATCGTGCATAAAGAGCACAAGCCCACTACTACTCATGTTCCAAAAGCACGAACATATCTAATCACCAAACTGCAGGGGACAGACACCTGTATATTTCCTCCACAGCTGGGAACCTTTGCTTTCCTTTGCTCCCATTTATGATTTATTGCTAAATACTACAGAAGCATGTGCTAATTTCTTAAAGCATGGGAAATGATTTTAAAATGTACATTTGTGTCCCCCAATACTTTACCACAGCCTATAGCTAGAGATTAAAAGTAGAAAGTTATGTTATCTTCTACTTTGAAAAGTATACTATTGTAGGAAAAAGACATCTCAAGGACCAAGGACCAGCAAATATTGCCCATTTCATCCTAGAACCACACACAAATTTCATGGCTATCTACACTGAGACTTGAGGCCCAAGAGTTAAAAAATGAATAGCAAATTCTCATGGTGGCAGATGCACTAAGAATGTAGCACACAAAAGACTGATGACTTCATGTAGGACAGGACAAGTCACTAGAAAGAGTATGAGAGGGATTCAATCAATGGCTACTTCTTGGCTGTCATACCAATAAAAAAGATTAGAAAACAAGTCTTCAAAAATGACAACAAAGTAGCTAGCAACATCATCAACAACAAGAAACAGCCAATTACAACAGCAAATGTATATTTAGGGCCTTACTCTGCTACTAAAGAACCCTGGGGGAGACAAAGTCACATCCTGCAACTGATTTCTGCAGTGTCTGGCAGAGCACCCTTGATGAGTACTGTCCCAACAAGCATCTTGAGAAGCTACCACAGTAGACAAAACCATCTCCTCAGGTAACCTCAAGGCTTGAGACACATGGAATCTTCATTACTGATTTCAGGTTTGAGATTCCAATGCAAATCTCTCAAGCTAAAACCTGTATTCTTTAACATAAAGTACAGAGAAGTATACAAGGAAAACCAACCAACCAACCAAAAACCTGCAAAAAAGTCAGAACAACTCAGCTGGTGGAAGCAAACCCTTCACACCTACTCCCACAAATGAGAGTTGGCTTCACTTTTCCCTTGCTATGGACTGTTTCAGTGACAAATGCTGTTTGTCACAAGGAAACTAGCTGTGAAGGGAATAACCATTCAGGTCAAAGTACAGCTAGCACACAGATGCCTGTGCTGTGTGCACTCTGGGTTACTTGGTTAGCAGAAACTAAGTGCACTTCAGAACAGCCAGAGCTTAGCAGAAAGCACAGAAAGGGTCCAAACACTGGTCTTCAAAGTGAGAAAAATTACTTTAGGTGCAGTGGGTTGTTTGATAATCATACTTAGAAGATAATACATTTATTCAGCGGTAGAAATCATCTGGCAAGGGTCACATATATTAGACCATTTTAGGCTAGGTGATTATTACATTTCTAACCTGGAACAACAACTGCATGTTTCACAATTTTGTTCCTCAAACTCTGGGCAGCAACCTTAACAATCTTTGCTTTAGTGGACATTATTTTGTTTATAATAACAATCTGTCATACTTTTGAAAACTGTAATCTAGAACTCTACTTTGAAAGCATGGGACAAATCTCATACTCCCTACCTGTAATCTGTCACCTTCTGACATAGAACTATAGGCTTCAAGAGTAATTTAGTTCTAGATAGAAAATATGATACTGAGAAGGCTTATTATAAACTCACCACAAATGTATTTTAAAGTGTTAGGACACGAGAAATGAGAAGCTCTAAGTTCTGCTGAGCCGTCAGGTGTCAGGTGTAATATAACTACCTTACTAACATACATAAAGGTAAAGGATACCTTCATCATATAAAAGAATGGATTACTTTGCTTATTGTCAACTTCACATTACAATAAACATCTGACCTCCTTCCCTCAGGCTAGACAATAATCCAACTCAAGGTCAAGAAGAAGAAATATCAATGAATACAACCATGATACAAAGGAAACACTGCCTCAGAAAATATAAAGACACAAAAGATACCGAAGTCTCTGAGCAAGGAGGTGCAATGGCACAAAAAGAGCCAGAGGTATCAGAGCAAGGAAACCAACTTGGCAAAAAGTCCAATTTCTGAATTCCTTTCACTCTCCTTACTGCTAGGCAAAATGCTAGAAAAACACAGAGAACCGAAAAGTGAGGAAACTGGAAATGAAATGTTTTTAATGCACACAGGCACGAGACCTTAACATTTTTAGAGAACACAGAATGTTGAGTTTCATAAAGGAACTTTATTCCTATCCTCATTCACTCACTCGGATTTGCATTTTTAGTTCATATTACATACAAATTACTAAAACCTTCAAATGAAAAATGTACAGCCAAGTCTTACAGCATAATATTAATCTGCCATATATCTTCATTATCTGTATTTACTAATTAATATTTAATACAAAAATAATGATATTCAAAGCGCAAAACAGCAAGCAATTCCCTTGACTGCACTGGGAGACTCTCTTTTATATATTAATATAAAAGTTTAATTTTTTTAACATGTCTAACAAATTTCATCCATGCTAACAGAGAGCAATAAGGTTTTTCAGGCCTCTCCAAATGCTCATGTCTCAGGAAGGAATCACTATTTGAAATTCTAAGGTCATTCATTTGCTATAAACAGAAACTTAAAAAAAAATATGTAAACCGTACCCTTATCTTTTGGATTAGAATGGTTAAGGACAAAATTCATTTAACATCCTATAAAATCACTGAAGTTATACATAAAAGCACCTACAAAATTAAATTAAAAAAAGATTCACAGTGCACTACACCTTGGAACACATATGGCTGGATCCTAAGGACATTTAAAAGGTGAATTCAAAGACCTCTCTCTCAAGCACACAAAGCATCATGAAGCCAACATAACTGTTCCCATCTAGCTTCGTAAAATGCAGCACCACACAGAAGTCATTATTGCATATTCAGCATCCTTCTTTACAGACAGATTTCATCAAACCATGCTAGTGTCTCAAAGGAGAAATCTAGTCCTATGCTAAACCTGGGCTACCTCAACATAACCTGAACAGTGAAATGGAGCAAGTACAACAGATGTATATTTAAAGAGTACAATCAATTTAAACATTTTCTGCATAGTTAAGTCACATCATATATACAAACCTTAACTCCTCTTTTATCATGCTAAATTAACCTTGGACTGTCAAGACAACTAAAGTCTCATGTTATCACAATTGCATCCCAACCACACCCTTGCTTTGTTCCACAGTGCATTAAATGAAGCAGCTCAACAGTAGCAACTGTTGTCAATTAAAGGTAACCTGTTGGTTCTTAAAGTCAACCACATTAGAGGCCATACTTCTGGTAACTAATCTCTTTAGCTTTAGAATTGAGAGCTGAAAAATCTAACTTTATAGGCACCAGAAAGACTAAAGTATTCATTTAAGAAGAATGACACAAACACACTAAAAATTAAATGGTTTCCAGATGACCAAAAATGAGAGAAAATGATTCATCTGCCAGGCAAGCTAAGTTTTCACTCTTGTAACCATTTAACAGAAACCTGGAATGCTGGGACTAACTATAAATATGGCTCAAGAAGACCCAAGCAAAGCAGCCGTATTTCTGAAAAGAACAGTAAGGGCTTCCACACACAATCACATAATGCATTAAGAAGCAAAAGTTACAGAAGGATTCACAAATTAATCACAGTAAAAGATTCTAAACACACTGCTACCATTGTGAATTCTTCTGCTTAGCACCAAGAGTGACACTTTCATTAGTAAATAGAATTTCTTTAAAATCAGCCACTTAAGAGCTAAAGCAAGTAGCAATACCAAATGAACTCCTTACAATAATTAGCCCTTCTTTAAAAGTCCCATGGGGTTATGTAGAACCCCTATTAAATAGGCTACATATACAGAATAAAGTTTTCTATAGTAATATTTATAAGCAGAGATATACTTTGTGGATACCACTTGTAAAGCAAAAGCTTTTTTAAAAACCCACATGTCAGATGCACATGCACACATACACTCAAACAGTCCCTGATCCCACCCCAAAATATTCTTCTCAGTGAGGTCAGATGCAGCCAAACCAGTATCGCCTCTTAAAGCTCTGTGATTGTCCTCAGTTACAGATGATCCTTTGTAAAATGCACATTGTCATCCTTGTTTGGATATAAGAATCTTGAAGGAACAAAATACAAAATACATTCCTAGATGTATGCTGAGTATTACTTCTGTGGTTCATTCTCTCCTAGTGACATGGCTTTGTTTGTATATAACCCCTTCCTTTCTCTATAACCATTGGGGGTTGAGTGGTTAATAAAAACCACATCACTCTGTGATTACTGCAAACTGGGAACCTAACATAATACCAGTTTCCATAGTTCAACACTGAGATGAAATGTAAAACTAAGAATGTCAGTTTTCCGTACATACTCACACAACTAGAATGTGCATGAAAATTTCATATGAGCATCATTGCACAATACTGAATGGATGGAGGCAGGATGGTAAAGGCATGACTCAAAGCAACTGCCAGGTCCTGGCCTCCATTCCCTCTGTTCCAGCACTGGGGTTTACTGCCAGCTTGTAACAACTCAAAATTACAGCATCAGCTCCTCACCAATGCGATCTTTCTCCAGGCCTCTGTCCTCTGAAGTGCTTAAGAGTTCAGTTTGCACACGAATATTATTATATTGCAGATGCTGGCTCTAAATAGACAAAACACTAAACAGAAGGATTAGAGAGCCTCAGTGGTTAGAAGCAGAAAAATGAACAAAATGCCTGCAATCTTGATATGACATTTCAGCTCTTACACTCATTAATAACTTGAGTATTTTAAGTTTTTTAAATTTTCAATATAAGTAAACTTCTGCAATCACTATAATGGGGAGATGGAAGTATTCCATTAACCTGGCTACTTGATGACTCAATCAAAACAACTATTTTCTTGACAAGAATACAAAGACCCACAGTTACACAAAATAAATGCCCTCAAAAATAACATTAAAAAAAAAAAAAGAAAGAAAAAGGCAATTTAATCTTGGTTCTAAACACTGAAAAGGTAAATCTGTATAAAAGGTTAAAACTGCATGTACAGTGCAAACTTATGTTTCTACTTTCTCTTCTGCATGGAAAATCTCTTCAGAAACTTTGCCTCCCTGCATGTCTTTAAAATACCTGAGAAAGGTAAGGCTTGAGGAGACACCGCTCAAATGCAACAGGTCTCTGATCTTGGGACTTCTGTAATATATTTGTTGCTGTCAAAGGTCCAAGATTTTCATTATAGCATTATGGTCAAACTTGAAACTCAGAAAGGTTCTGGATGAAAAGGGGAGCTTGCAATGTCCATTACATGCCATGGTGTGTCCCTCAGCATGTTCTCCTAATGGATCTTCACCAGAACAAGGCAAGTCATATACAGCATCTGCTCAGAAAACAAAGTGCAGTGAGTAACTCAGCAAGTCATCCAAACACTATCCCTGACCTACTGAAGGACATCCAGAATCTATGTCTATTTTCCTATATCCTAAATCAAACCTAAGTAGAACCATAAAGATATTTTCCTTTCCCTCAACTGAATCTATTACTGCTCATTTCTACATAACATTCAAATTTTAACCTCAGCCTTTTTAGACACCTGATAACCCCTTCCTTTCAAAATGGGCATAATTTTACCTTTTATTTTGTGCCAAGGTAACAGAAGCTTCTTGACAGAAGTCAAAATGAAAATACAATGAAAGAGCTTAAAGTTTAAAATTGTTGAAAACTAGAGTGAAAGTTTACCAAGTCTTCAGTATATCCAAAAAGAAAACCTCAAAAGCCCCTTGATAATCAGTCTTAGAAAAGCTTTTTGGATATGGCATCAAAAGCCAAAATAAACAAGCGAGACACATCAAATTAAACTGATAGCTCCAACAGGTGTGGTAGTGCATGCCTTTAATCCCAGGAATCAGGAAGCAGAGTCAAGGGGGATCTCTGTGAGTCCAAGGCCAGCCTGGCAGAGTTCCATGCCAGGTGAGGCTACAGGGAGACGCTGTCTCAAAAAAGAACAAAAATTATGTAAATAATAAATTGATAGCCCCTATATTTTCATAGCTAACCATAACTTTCCATAGTAGGGTTAAAGAATTCCTTTTTAAAAATACTTTGTGAATGTGTGTAAACTCATGTGTGAGCATGCACATGCCATGGCAGGTGTGTGGAAGCCAGAGGACCTTAAATGTCATTTCTCATCTTCCATTTTGTTTGACACAGGGTCTCTTGTTTGCCTCTGCATACTCCAGGCTAGCTGACCTACAAGCTTCTAGGTATTCTCTTATTTCTGCCTCCCACCTTAGAACAGAAGTGCTAGGGTTACATATGTGGCTAGTGTCCAGCTTTACATCGACTTTGGAGTCTATGCAGGTCTTCACATTTGTAAGGCAAGCATTTTACCCACTGAGCCATCTTTGCAGCCCCAAAGCACTTCTTTTAAGATAACTTTTGTCTTGCTTAAATTACATTTAAAATATGTATCTATAATTAAGTTTCATTTCTTAGTTTTCTAATGAAATGTTTAGAGTTAGAAGAAGAAATATATAGCCACTAAGGAAATTCCATGCTTGCAATGGAATTGCAATTCAAATTAGCATGTAAGAAAAAGCAGTGTACTTTCAAGTGATATTTCGTTTCCAAATCTGACATACTACATTCCCTATCAGAGGAAGGAGAAATTACATCAGTTTACTAAAAGCTACATTTAGTACTACTTTAAAAAGTGATCCCATTACCTACAAAAAAGAGAGAATAGGTTCTCTTCTGAAGTTAGTGTGAGAAATATCCTCACAGCACTTCCTACTAACCTAATCCATAAGCAATTATTCACAATACACATTCATGGGACCAGGGCCGGATATTCAACAGCAAATGATGTTATCTTGATCATTCATTAATAATCCTTTTAAGCCAGTCCCCATTGAGACAATATGAACTCTTCACAACATTACAGCCCTTCCTGTGCTAACTTATCCTATCTAGAAAAATCCCATTGACTTTAGAGTTGAAGTAAAACCAAACCCAGCCTCACAAGACAGATTAAGAAAATGGCTTGCCTGTTTCAAAGTTATCCTGAAGTTTTCGGGGATGCAGCTTCTTTTCACATTTCTATTAAAAACAACAACAACATGCGTATAGCACACAGTCTCTGGTTATCTTCCCTCATTAAAGAGTAGGAAATACATTATCAAACATCTCAAGAATAAAAGTAAACCAGGAATCCAATCATCATTCCCACTGGGTGTTCTTAAAGCCTGACTTTTAAAATTTCTGAGTACATATATATGATTTCATTACCTACCTCAACCCAGCAATGATTATTAACACTTTGGTGTTTCTTTTTCCAGCTTTTTTCTTATGAAAAAATTAGTATCTAAGAAAAAGCAGTGTACTTCCAAGTGATAGCTTTTGTCTTATGTGCAATACTGTTTTCATATAATCATGCAACTTTAAATTATAAGTATAGTATACACACTACTGTCTTATAACTTCCCCCTATCCATTTTTTTGCAGTGCTGGGGATTAAACCTAGGGCTGCCATAGCTTTATAGTGAATTCTATCTGCAGCAGCTCTATTTAAAGCGTTAGTAGTTCTAACCTTATAAATGTAATATGGTATGAATAAAATATTTTCCAATGAATACAAACCCACACTGTCTTTTTGCTGACAATAGTGATCTACTGTGAAGATCTACAAATCTTCTCTTAGTACCAACTTCTTAGATATTTACACCTTTCTCATGTTCTCATTACCAAGAGCAAGGGGAGGCTGAGTACCCATCACATTTTCCTTCTAGAGAAACTATTTTTCAGGTTGCTACCTCTGTAGAAGGTTATACTGACTATTAAATTTGATGATTTGTCAATGTACTCAATAATACACACTTTGGCATTATCAAACTTTTCATCTTTGACTGTCTGATGGGAGAAAGGAGCTAAGACATTTTAATGTTTCTTTT